CGCATGCCTCTCCCCCCGCTGCCCGCCGCCCAGGGTCACACGCAGGGCAGGGAGTTGACGTGTGGGTGAGTGTGGGCCCCCCGGTGGCCTCCGGATCAGAGCTCTCAGCTTCCAGCTTGTCACTCAAGAGCACCAGGCCGGGAAGGGAAGAGCCCCCGCCTGGCCGGCAGAACCAGAAAAGCCAGTGCCGTTGCTCTCACTGCTGCTCAAAGCGCCCTTACGTTTTCCCAAAGAGCAGAACTGATGATTTCCACCCCCCCCCAAAAAAGAGGGGGGGTTTCAAATGAAAATAGGCTATAGGAATACCCACCAAGTGATACAAGCATACAGATTTTAATTTAATGGGTTTGTTTACTTTCCATCAAATTAGATTTTTCCCAAGCAGCTGAAAATCTGTGGAAATATTATGAGTGTCGTGGAGTTCTCCAATCTTAAGGCTGGAAGTCACCCAGCACTCACTAGATGAAGAATTGGGGCCTAAAGGATATGCACGGCATATTTAATAACTTCACCCCCTGGGAACACGTCCGTGTGGAATTGGGTTAGAAATAAAGCGTGTCCCACCTTATGCACCAGGTGAGAGAGGGAACAAAGCTAACTTTCACTTTAAGTGATGACACCCTTTATACCAAAAATTCACTTTGAGTGAAGTTTTGAGAATATATAACACAGTAAGATTACTAACATTTTATAATAGACTTTTTGCAACATTTATAAACGTGAAGATGAATCACACCCAGAAAGAAGGAAAAAAATTTAAATAACTTGTCAATTTTTAAATATTGTTTCTTTCCAATCTGTAAAATACTGAAATGGGGAGGGGGGGAGACCACCTTTTTAACTCTCAAAGAATTGCTAACCTGTTCACTGAATGCATTCTTTCAGGCTACAGTTGTTGAATAAAAACAAAAGAAAGTCACAGGGGAACACTGCAAAATAAAATTAGCGCCCCCCCCCAAAAAAGCAACCTGGGGAAATATTTGTAACCCACAGTACTGAAAGGGGCTAATTTTATTTACAGATATAGAAATTATTTAAAGTTTGATGAAATTTAGTTTGTGGAACGTGTGAGTAAACACATTACTACTTCTTTAAAAAAGAAAAGAAAACCTTAAAAACAATGTTAGCCCTAAACAAGATGTGACAGACACTACTACTTTTTTATCGGCTTTAGAAATGTTTTCATCAATATCTACAAACCATATTTTTAACTTTAAGTTGCTAAAATACGGTGGCAAATTTTCTATAAAATATTCGACTACTTGTTTTTCAGCTCTGTGAAATAACACCGCTGCCTACTTTCATCCTCTGCTAGCCGGCAGGACAGCGTTACATGGGAAACCTTAGCATGTGGTTCTTTGTTAGAAATGCCATCAGAGCGTTTTCTCCACCAATGGTCGTCCGTCTGACCTTCTCCCCCAAATCCTGGTGGCACCCTCTAAAGTCGGAAGGAGCCCTTCCAGGTTGTCAAAGAGTCTCCTCTTCCTGTCAAGCCATCCCTGAGGTCACACTGGAGACCGTCCCCAAGACTGTAGCCCACAAAGAAAATACCTTCCGAGGACAGAATTGTTGAAAACACACTTCCCCCTAGAGGCAGAAAAGATGAAACAATATTGCACAGAATTCGGGAATATGTTTGTCATGAAATGAGGGCTGAGATCTTATTTGTAACATGCAGTTGGTGTTTCTGAGAAACCATTCAAGATGTGGGAGGAAAATCAATGAAAAAATTAAAACTTTGCCTCTAGGTCTTAGCTTTCCTTAGCAGGGACTCTGTTAATTGGCCCCCTCCTTTTGTTTTGTTTTGTTTTGTTTTAATACAAATCTTCGATTTTTTTGCCAGCACTAAAAATAATAGTGATCATGTGTTTTTTCTAGTTAAATTTATGATTCAATTTCATCAGAAACGGCAGTCAAATGTGACCTTGATGGGTGCTTTTGAAAACACGGCCCTAGCAGATTTATCGCCTGATGGGTCACATTTGTTTCTGTATTCCTGCCCTCTTTTTTTTTAATTTTTTAAAATATATTTTATTTATTTTTTACAGAGAGGAAGGGAGAGGGATAGAGAGTTAGAAACATCGATGAGAGAGAAACATCAATCAGCTGCCTCTTGCATACCCCCAACTGGGGATGTGCCCACAACCAAGGTACATGCCCTTGGCTGGAATCAAACACGGGACCCTTGAGTCCGCAGGCGGACGCTCTATCCACTGAGCCAAACCAGTCGGGGCTACTCCTGCCCTCTTAAGTTTCCATCAACCAGTCTTATTGTCATTTCTTTGGAGATGTTCTGAGACAAAATGACATTAGAAAGACTTCCGGAAAATATAAAGCCGATCCATGGTTTAACCTGAGTATCACCATGAGTTTTCGAGGATTTGCAAGCCACACGAAGAAGTCCCATATCACTGACTTATGGACACATTATTTAATGTAGATTATTCCATTCACAAAAACAGTGGGTGGGCCTCAACTTCACGCACACCAATACTGACTATACTTCATTGGTTTATTTAGTTGTACCCTGCGTTAGTCCAGAAAGGATTTGAGAAGACACATAAGAAGTGAAATTTTAGAGAAGTTTGCTCAGGCCAAAATGCACAGCCATCGGGTCCGACTCTCTCGGGCCCGACGCTGTGCCTCCAGCCTTTACACGACTCCAAAGCCTCAGCAGCACCTTCCCCCCATCCGAGTTCCAGGGTTCCCGGTCACAGCCAGCTTTCTTTCCATTTTCTGGGAGGGGTGTCTGGTGGACCAGGCTTCGGAGCAGGATTCCATGGAGACAAGAGGCGTTTAGAAGCCTCACAAACACGTCCTGAGGTGGTCACCGAGGCTCTTTGACCTTCAGTTCTTCAATCTTCTCACTTCTAACGTGGAGACCATGTCATCGGCCTGGTGTTGCAGAAGGAAGGATCAGAAAGGATGGATGCCAAGTCCCTCGAATTCAGTGGGAAATGAATAAATGGCAGTTCTTACAGTCCCTTGAATGCCTGGTAAAGAGTACTACACCAAGTAAGTGTTCAATAAATGCTATGAAATAAAGGAATGACTTCAAACCCAAAATGATGTGGCTATGGGTAACTTGTTTGGAAGTAGCTATTGTCCAATCACAATAGACCTTATTTAATAATGTTGGTTTGATGAAGGTGGCTACCCTGGGGGAACCACTTGGCAATTACCTTGAGATTAGCCCTGGGTTCCCACACTCAGATGTTTCCTGGTAAGCTTGAGACAAGAGCCGGTTCAATATCCTTTCCTCTCTCTACATAGTTCGCAAAGACAGCAGGAGCTCAGCTCCCTTAAGGAGATGGAGGTACATCAGAGTGATTACGGAAAAACAAACAAACAAACAAAAAAAAGGAAAAAATAGAAGTGGCTGTACAAAGGGTCAGGACTTTGAGGATGAGGGGAGGACTAAGCAGAATATATGGAAGCAAAAGAGGATTGTACTGGAAGTAATGTATTTAATTTCTAGATCAAGTGTATTATTAATAGTGATAAAAGAGTAAAATGTATCCTAATGTGCTAAGTACACAGGCTACAAAGATGTCAGGCCCGGGGTTTAATGTTCTTGTTTAATTCAGCCTTTCAAACATCCACAGTGTGTCAAGAGCTATGGTGCTCCAGCTTAAGCCTGTTGTATCAGACATTCATTTGCCTGGGGATGTGATTTGACCCAAGTTATATTTAACTCTTTGTGATCGTCAATCGTGTTATGACAGCCAAATGGGCTATGTTTAAGAGACACTTGAGCAGGACAAAAATATATTCGATTTCAAAAACATCTTATAAAAATAATTTTCCTGGTGTCATTGCATCAACATATTGAACACTTTGTGCTCTAAATTAACCATCATTAATCCGTGAGAATATAAACTCCATGAGGGCTAGGATATTTTTCCTTTAATCCTGCATTCCCTCCTTCAAGAATGATATATGAAGTAGGCACTTAAAATTTAATTTCATCAATGATAAATCCAAAATAAAAAATTAGCGTATATGTATAAATTCATGTACATATAAACTTTTTAAATAATTTTCAGAATATTCAAATATTATGTTGGATTTCTGATTATGCAAAGAATATGAGAAGCCAAAGATCCTAAATACCAGCTTTGAGGTCTTAACACATTGCTATACCAACACCTCATCACTTAATTCTTGATTGTTTCCTTGCTAAAGAGGGAAATGCCGGATCCCCCCCAAAAAATAAATAAATAAGAACATTATTTTTTGTAATGCTGTGGACAGAAATTAAAGGTGGTGAGGAAAGTTTTTGTTACCGCCATGTACAATGTGGGAAGATATAGTTTTTATTTCTTTCCAGCGAGTACATTCCACAAGGTCTTAAATCTTGGATAGCTGATGCATGAGACTAAAATAGATTAGAATGCCATGAGGAAAACATCAGGAAAATTCTTAACATTTGTCTTCTTATATTTTTGGTGATCATGTTGTTAACATTAAATTTTACTCTGACATTAGTGGAGAAAATTGTTTCATCAAGCTAACATTGTTATTTTTCTTTTTTTAAATAGCTATGTGTTTATTGCTATTTTATTATTTATATATTTTGTCTTTTCTTCTTTTTAAAATATGTTGATTTTAGAGAGAGAGGAAGGGAAAGGGAGAGAAAGAGAAGCATCGATAAGAGAGAAACAAAAACATCAATCTGCTGCCTACTACACGCCCCCTGACCGGGATCGAACCGGCAAGTTCTCGGTGCATGGGTCGATGCTCAAGCCCTGAGAAACACTGGCCAGGCTCTTATTATTATTCTTAAATAAGACCCATGAACGTTTCTCGTTCTTCAATTTTTTAAAATGTTTATTGAATTTACTGGGGTGGCATTGGTTAACAAAATTATATAGGTTTCAGGTGTCAATTCTATAATACATCTGTTTACTGTATTGTGTGTTTATCACCCCGAATCAAGTCTTCTTTCATCACCAATTATCCCCCCTTCTACCTTCCCCACCTCTCTTTCCCTCTGGTAATCACCACACTGTTGTCTGTGTCTATGTGTTTTTTTCTTTGCTTAATCTCCTCATCTTTTTCACCCAGGCCCCCAACCCCTTCATTGTTATTTTCCAATTGTTGGTAATTCCTTTGGCATTAAATGTTCTTCGCTCTTCATCCATCCTACAAAAATATTCTTTTCAGCCTTTATTTCTTTTTCCCTGTACTAACTGCCGGGGTGGTGGGGAGCAGGGGGAGGGGGAGTAACAAAGATTATTTTAACTCAAATCTGTCATTTTACAGACTCTTGGAAGTCTTGAGGTATGACATGGAAATGACTTTCTACTTGGGCAATTTCTTATATTCAAGTGTATGTAAGTGTATAAAGTATCTCAAGTTGTAAATCATTCCTGTTCTAGTGAATCGCTTTGGTGGTGTTATTTTTAACCTCAGGTACAAAATTTTTTATTTCAGCTCTTGGCACATTCAGTACCAATCTGCAAGGTTCTTGTCTTATTTTAGTGTCTTCCCTTCATTGCTCTCTTCATTCCTTTTGCTCCATACGACTCTTCTGTTTCTAATATATGTAGATGGGTCTAAATCATTGAAAAAGAGTATTTCTTGTGCATGCATGTGTTATTTCAATATAGAAATTGTATTATGCTATTTCTTATTTTCACAGAGAGTGACATGGATAGATCTTAACTATTAGGTGAAAAATCTACCTTATTACTTTGGTTTTGTTTAATTTTTAGAACTGGTAATATTTTTTCAAACTTTCTTGTAGAATAATTGACAAATATAATTGTACAACTTGTGTGATACACATTGTGGATATTTACCAAGACCAAGACAATTAACACATACATCACCTCATATAGTTGTGTGTGTGTGTGTGTGTGTGTGTGCGTGTGGTGAGAATGCCTAAAATCTATTCTCAGCAACTTTTCAAGCGGCCAATACCACATTACTAACTATAGTCACCATGCTGCACTATTAACCCTCAGAACTTCTTTTTTTAAAAATTTATTTTATTGATTTTTCACAGAGAGGAAGGGAGATGGATAGAGAGTTCGAAACATCAATGAGATAGAAACATCGATCAGCTGCCTCCTGCACACCGCCTACTGGGGATGTGCCCGCAACCAAGGTACATGCCCTTGACTGGAATCGAACCTGGG